GCTAAACTATGAATGGCTGGTTGTGCTTCCTCTACGGAAATAGGTGTACTAACTGGTGGAGTTGGGGTTCACCGTGGTAGTACTGGCGCTTTAGGCAATGGAGCTGCCTTACTAACTGCTCTTGTTTGGGAGCTCTGTGGTGGAGATGGTGTTGTGTCAACATGAACTGGATTACTATTTGCTGGGGTTGGGGTTAGATTGGGTGAAGTTGGTTCTCTGTCCATCGCAGTAGCGGTAAAATCTATGAGAGGCTGGGTTATGTGTGGTAGGGCTGGTTCTCGTGCATGTACAGCCGGGGTGCTATCTCCACCAAGAGGTAGCACTGTTTTATTTGAAGACCGTGTCTCCGCTAGATACTGCCATCACCCGCTCCAATTCAAATGGCTGATAAACAGGAAACATAATTGAATGTACAGACATTGTATGAGAGACAAATGCAATAGATAGTGTGGAAAAAAGAGGGCATTAAATAATTGACATGTATATTGTTTAACTAAAACGGATAGCATGACATAATTTCACATATATGATGTCTATCTAAATTGGATAGCATAGCATAACATAATTCAAAGATATGATGACTAACTAAACATGATCGCATGACATAATGCGCATACATGTTATCTAAGTAACTAGGATCGCTTGATTTAATTCACATATGTGATTTATATGCTAAGAGGAGGGCATTCACATATATGATGTGTGAACTAAGAACATGGTGTTGAATATTGTGTATATGCACTACTAGGAAAAGGGCTATAGCCAATATGGACATTAATGGCACACCATGTATGTGGTGGGCCACTGCTATATAGCAGTGGCGCACCAGATACTGGTGCGCCATTAGTGTCCTCATTACTAATGGCGCACCACACACACGATGCGCCATTACTAGCAAATTTTATTTTTTTATTTTTCCAAAACTATTAATGGCACACCAGGGCACAGTGCGTCATTAATAGTTTTAACTAGTAATGGCGCACCACACACCCAGTGTGCCATTACTAACAAAAAAATTATTATTATTCCAAAACTAGTAATGGCGCACCAGGGTACAATGCGCCATTACTAGTTCAAACTAGTAATGGCGCACCACAATCAAGGTGCGCCACTACTAACAATTATATTTTTTTTGTTTTGCAAAACTAGTAATGATATTCTTCTGTTCTAGTCCTCATGAATATTTATTTATGTGTTTATTCTGGTATTGAATTTCTAACTCACAAGAAGTATTGAATTTGTTAATATTTTTTGAACTCATGAATATTTTTAAATTTCATGGGCACTTTTTGAATTCATGAATATTTTTTCAAATTTGATGATATTTTTTCATATTCATAAATGTTTTACCAATTCACAAATGAATGCAATTAAAAATCCAAAAAAATAAATTTGATGATATTTTCAAATAACAAATTTTATGATATTTTCAAATAACAAATTTGATGATATTTACAAAAAAAGTTACTAATGGCGCACCCCTAGGTGGTGCGCCATTGCTATGGATGTACTTATGGCGCACCCCTGGGTGGTGCGCCATTGCTATTCTTCCCCCCTCTGTCCCTTTTCCCCTCGCCCCCCGCGCCAGATCCCCCTCCATCTCGATCCCCCTCGCCGCTGACGACCCCCCGCACCCTCCCCCGCTCCACCGCCGTCGACGACCCCCCGCACCCTTCCCCGCTCCAACCTAGGTTAGGCTAGGTCGCGTCGCGCCCCAACCCCATTCGCCGCAGCCGCCCTACCCCACCCCACCAGCAGATACACCTCGTTTCGCCGCCGTGATGAGGAAGCCAGAGCCTGGAGGTGGAGACTTTGGCGGGGCTACTCACAATCCATCGACGGCTGACAACGAACGCCGACGCGATGCGACGAGGCCGGCCCACGACCACGACCACGATCGGCGTCCTCCTCCTTCTACGGTCTGCATCTTTGATGCGATGCCAACCACCGCCTCGTCAACGAATGTTAATGCTCCCTTCCTCCCTCCTCTACTCCTCTCCTCTATATATTGTAATAATTTTTATCAATAATAAAAAGTTACTAATGGCGCACCAGGAGAGGGTGCGCCATTGTTATCAATAAAAAAGTTACTTATGGCGCACCCCACGGTGGTGCGCCATTGCTATGGATGTACTTATGGCGCACCCCTGGGAGGTGCGCCATTGCTATCCCTTTCCCCCTCGCCCCCCGCGCCACCCCCTCGCCCCCCGCGCGCCAGATCCCTTTCCCCCTCGCCGCCGACGACCCCTTTCCAGCGCGCCCCGCCCCCACCTCCAGCGCTCCTCCACCCATCACCACCGCAGCTCTTCCACCCCTCACCACCGCAAGCCGCCGCCACCCCCGAGCATCT